TGATACAGTTCAGCAAGCTAGAAATGAAAGGGAATGCTTTTCTCTGTAAAACAACATCTTCCAAACTACAGATAATATCATTCTCAGTGGTGAAAGACGTAGTGCTTTCTGGTCTGGGAATAAGGCAAGATGTTCACTCTCTTAAATAAGTACTCTTATTTAACAAGAGTATTAGAATTTGTAGGTATCCCAGATAAGGCTGAAACAAAAGACAAGAAATATATTGACTAGAAGAAATAAAATTGTTCTTATTTTTAGACAATCTGATTGCTTACTAAAAATATCATGGAACCTACTAAAAATTCTGAGAACTACTAAGCTCAGTAAATTTGTGTAATAGAATACAAACACACAAAAAGAAAATGCATTTCCATATATTAACTATGAAAAATGTGTAATCTGAAATTGAAAGCAAAATGCCATTTATAACAGCATCAAAGAAAAAGAAAATATTTGGGTATAAGTTTAACAATCTATTTACATGAGCTGTATGCTAACAATTTCAAAGTACTGCTAAAATAAATCTAGTAAAACCTAAATAAAAAGAAAAACAAGCCGGGCGCGGTGGCTCATGCCTGTAATCCCAGCACTTGGAAGGCTGAAGCAGGAGAATCACTGCGAGTTCGAGACCAGCCTGGGCTACAAAGTGAGCTCAAGGCCAGCCTGAACTGTATAGTGAGACCCTGTCACAAAAAGACAAAAAAAAAAAAAAAAAGAAAAAAACTCCAAAAAACAAAAAAAAACCCCAAAACCAAACAAACCAACAACAACAACAAAAACATATAGCATGCTTGGCTTAGAAAGCTCAACACTGTCATTCAAGGAAATTGTCACAAAAACAACACAGATTCATAAAATGAGCTATAGTAAAATTAAAGCGTTTTTTCACCATTAAAAATGTGAAAAGTCATAAATGAGAGAAAATATTTTATAAAACAAGTAATCACAAACAGTTGTATCCAGAATATACATACAAAGAATTCACAGCGATCATTTGGAAAAAGACAACCCAGTAGAAAAATGGGCAAGAGACTTGAATAACTACATCACTAAGATCACAAACCACAAAAAAGATGCTTGAATGATCCAAGAATGTGAAAATACGTTCAACTTCGTTGGTAAGTAGAAAGGTGCAAATTAAATCACTGTACTTCTAGAATATATTTGTGCAGGTAGCCTTGAAGCATGAGAGGTAGCATCCAAAACTGGACCTAGCAAATCAATAATCAGGAATTTCACATAATATCGCAAAAGAAGTTGCACACACGCTTGCCAGGAACAGAATGTGTAGCCCCAAACGGAAACAATCTGAATGACCATCAACAGCTGGAGGCGTAAGCAGCGACAGGTAAATATGTGGTTTTTAACACAGCTGAGCAGCAATGGAAATGAACTATTGTTACGCGCACGAGGGTACCACTGACAGAAAGAATCTGATCACCAAACAATACAGACAGATGGTTTCATTTACACAGAACTCAAAAACCAGCAAAATCATCTGGGATTAGAAGCCAAAAAAATAACTACCTATGGGAGGAAGAGCGTGAATAGTGACCGGGACAGTGTGGAAAAGGCTCCCGGAAAGCTAGAATATTCTCTCTGAAGACTTCATGTGGGTGGAGGTTATAGGGTGTGTTTATTATGATATAATTTAGTGAGCTGTATATATTTATGGTATGTGTACTCAGTAATATGTATTTTGCTTCAATAAAATATTTTAAGAATAGTTGCATGAATCATATCCAAATGGTTGACTGAAAGGAGGCAACAGGACAGGGAAAAGGGATTTTAAAAAAGATCAATAATTGTGTGTGTAAGTGGGTAGAGACAGGCAGCTAGATAAGAGGATGAAATGGGGCCTGTGCTACCGAGGGCTGTAGAATTTTGTGTTCCTAGGTACAGGAAGACACTTAAATTTGAATTTCACTAAATTAAAAGTTCAGGTTTTTCATCATGGGGCTCATATTTCAAATGCTCAATAGCTACTTGAGCTCAATAGTACAATTGCCTACCACGCCAGGCAGTGCAAAATTTAAAAACTGCTCTATGGCATAACATAGGTGGACATGGATGAGATTGCCAGGGAAACAAAAGGTGATTCGAATCTGGGCATGGGTGGTGCACACATGTAATTCCAGCATTGTGTGAGGCTGGGGCAGGAGGATTCCAAGTTCAAGCCCCGCCTGGGCCGCTTAGGGTTTTAGTGAGTCTCTGTCTCATAAAAGGAAAAAAGGGCTGGAGGTAAAGCTCTGCTGGAAGCCTCTGCGTTTCTCTAGTACTGAGGTGGTGGTGGTGAGGAATCAAGAAATTAGAGAAAGAGAATCTGAGGACCATCAGCATTAAAGGCATGATTGCAGGACACAGGCCAAAGTAACATAAGAATCAAGATTTTAGACAACTTCAAATAGTAAGAGCATAAATACACATAAGCCTGTATAGGTTAAGAATGTGGTTTTTTAAATAAAACTGAATAGCAATGAAAACGAAGTGTCAGGTGTTACCAAGAAGGAGCTAGACCCACATGGTAAATAACAGGCTATTAGAAAGTTTGCCACAACTATTTCTATGAATATGGAAGTCAGATCTCAGGAGGAATGAAGTTAGAAACCATCCGCAAATCTGAATTTCACCAGAGATGCTAGTCTGGTACGGAAGCCCAGGGGGGCCAGAGGGTCCTAGAGGTCTGGAATATTGTGACTAGTGAAGATCAGACCCTGCCCTTCATCCCCTGGAAAAATCTGGAAGGCTCAAACACACAAACACCCTTGTTTGAGTTCAGGCAAAGCTGCCAGTGGTGAGATGAATGTGGTTTTTGTGATTATAAGGAAATGTCAGAGAAGTCATTTTTCAGGTCACCAGTGGGGTTCCTGAGAATATGTTCTACGGGGCAGGGCACATGGGTGTGTTCTCTCCCACTCTCCCTCCTACCCTTACCCACCTTGAGCAATGAATGAGCCAGTCTTAGGGGATTTTCAAACACAGTGAGAAATGGTGAGATTTCCTGCACCATCCTGTTTCTGGAGAGCAAAGATGAATGATTTTGAAGGTGAAGGTCTCTGAAGCTGGGAAGAGAGACCTCAAGGCTTAAGGGACCCGAAGACCAGAGTCACCACCGAAAGCTCCCCATACTTCTTTACCCCTTGCCTTTATTTCTCTGACTGTCTCAGACCACGTGAAGGATATCTGAAGAGAAGATTTTGACATCTTGACTGGCAATCACCGTTTCTGTCTCAGGAGCTCCTATCTATCCTCCTCTCAGTCCCCCTTTTCCGTTATGGACCCAGTGGTCCTTTCTCCCAGACCTTCGGTCCCTTCAAAGACCCGTAGCCCTTCTCCCACATCCCATTTCCCAAGGGTCTCCCACCCCTCTTGCTTCTTGCTATTTCTGGCTTTCGTTCAGCCTTTTGTTGACTTACTTCACTCCTCATTGACTTTAGGGCTCAATTAATGCCAAGTCTTTATCTTTCCGTCTGGGAACTGGCCCTGGTGGGTGTGGGGCTGGCCAGGGTCCCAGAGAGAAAGAAAGTCCCCACCCATCATGGCCCCCCTGAGGTCCAGGCCTCAGTGATAAGCGAGGAGGAGCCCTGGGAGCAGCAGCTGTTGGCTTGTTGACTGAAAGGACACCCAGGCCTGGCAGCTGCTGCTTCTGGTGGAGACTCGGCAGCAAACAGTGATCCTGAGCCAGGGAGGAACAGAGTACACCAGGGTCAGGCCAGACCCTGGGGACACGCCGACTCCATCCTAGGAAGCCCACACTGACTTTCAGCTAGTTCTGCTCCGTGTGCCACTGGAACCCCCATGTCTCACCTGAGGGCAATGCTAGGGTGATGTGGAGGCACAGAATCACCAAAACCTATTCATCCAGTCTTTTCAAGTGGGAGAGGAGAGAGCTCCATAAAAACCAAATGCAAAACCAAATCGTTCTCCAGAAAGTGAAGTAAAACCTGCAAGGCATGGTGGAGCCAGGAAACAGAGGCCTGCGGCCTTCTTCACTTTCAGTCTGAGCCTCAGCTCCCACCATAACCCCAGTCTTGGACCACAGAGGTGTTAGGGAAGCCTCTACGGGGTCCCTAAGCCTAGCGAGGCTGGTTTCAATGTTTCTATTTCCCAGGTAAGGACCCTGGAGGCCCCATTGGACTGGAAGTGGAGGTCTCACCTTCCACACTACAGGCCTAGCTCAGGGCCCCAAACACCTGCCTCATTAGTGACTAGAAACAGGATGTGAGTATTTGGGGACCAGAGGTCAGCCCATGGGCCCCGGGTGGAGCCAGGACCCGGATATAGGCTCTTGGTGTTGATCCTGGCAGGGGTCAAAGGAAGGAATTTGGCCAGCAATCCAGCAAACATGACTAAACTCACATCTCACCTCATTCCCCATTCCCCCTTCCCCCAGGGCCCAGGCTCTTGGCATGCTGCTGCCCAGCTGTTTCTCTCTGGACACCACTCTTGCAGAACAGATTTTTCCCGTAGGCTTGCAGGGCATAGTCACCAGCTGTTCTCAGAAGGGAGGTTTAGATACATTGTCCACCCTTTCAAGGGTTTCCTTTTCCACCTGGCCTGGGGCCAGCAGTCTGCTCCAGGAAATTGGTATACTCTGCCTGACAGGTGGCCAGGGTGTGGCCTGAAGGACCAAGAAGCTCTGCTATATAATCCAGCCCTCAAGCTGGCCCTACAGCTCCAGGGACCTGCAGGTGAGAAGGTCTGGGGACCCCTGTGGGGGTGGAACGGTAAACCTTCTCTATTCCTTTGCTCCAGACTGCCTTATTCTGCCCTATTCTGGGACTTGCTTCTGGGCATCCAGTTCCCTTCATCCTGCCCATGATGCCTCACCCCATCACCCCCTGTACAGCCAGCCTTCCCTACACACATGCACACACACATGCACAACCTCTCAATCCGGTCTTTCTTGCCTCATATGGCTGATGTGCCTCTGCCATCTCAGCCTCTCTGCAGCTTACATGGCCTTTGTCCTGAGATCTGCCTCCCGTGACCCTGTTTCTGTCCCTCCAGCAGGCATGGGTTCCTTGTGGAGCTGGTGGTCACTGTGGGCCGGAACAATCCTCCTGTGGGGTAAGTCAGACCAATCCTCTATCCATTGCCTTGTTCCAATTTGAGCGACTCTCTCTGTCTGGGTCAGTTCCCTCTGCCTATGTCCCCTCCACAGACCCACGTCCCAATGTCCCCCAGGCTAGGAGAGATGAGAGAGAAACTGTAGCTTTTGCAGAGAAATATAGCGTCATTCACCCTTTCTCTCTCAGTCTCTGTCTCTGTTTCTGTCTCTCTCCTGGAGGGAGGCAGGTTAAACACACACACACACACACACACACACACACACACACACACACACAATGCATACCACACACCCCTTCTCCCTTGAATCCAAGTACACAAGAACTACCACTTTCTCACTTTTCTGCAATTCAGCTAAGATTTGGACTCTGAGACTCATTCTGAGGTGATAAGAAATTTTGTGAAGATATTCCTGGAGGAGGGCTTTGTCCCCAGTTTGCCTAGGGTTATGGACTAGAGTATTAGGAAAAGCCAAAGCACCAGTGGATGGGGTGGTCCCAGATCAACATCCATCTAGGCAGCTTTGGAAATGTGTGCTGTCCCTGATCCCCTGGCCCCAGAGGACAGCAGGATATTCTTTAAGATTCCTTCGTTTTGCAGGAAGTCACCCATGAATCCCACACACTTCTGAAGACTTCATAGACCTATGCGTCTGCCTGTCTGCTTGTCTCTCTCTAGTTGTGGGGAGAAGCCCAGCTCCCCTCTATTTCTAGGATACATGTTGTCCATGTACCTATCATCCCCATCTTCCCTTTATCCCCTTTGCAGAAACCCCCAAGTCCTACTCAGACAGAAAGCATACGCTGGTAGCTATGTCCAGTCAGTTTGTGTCTCCAGTTTGTGCTTAAAACAATTTTGGGTTGAATATTTCAAGAAAAATTCAGATGGAAAGATGCAGCTTTTTAATTTAATTTAATTTAATTTAATTTAACTTGTTTTTTGTAGTAACTACTGAACTCAGGGCCTTTGTACTGAGTAACACACTCCACTCTTAAAAACTCTTGAATTTGGTGACAGAGTGAGTGCTGGGATAACAGATGTGCCCTGCCACACTGGCTCAGAGGTAGCATTTTGGTATTTTCTAATTCCAACTAGCTAAAGGGAACAACAACCCACTTCAGGTGGTATATGCACATTTCGGCCTCCACCCAGAGTGTTTCTCACCTTTATGTAACTCACTTGGTCCTGGCAGCATCTGAGTTTGTGAACCTGCCCACAGGGAGCAGGCTTTTGGAAAACAGAAGCCTGAAAGGCTTGTTGACGAATACTGCTGAATAAGAAGAAAGGAAAGAGGGAAGGAGAAATGCAGCTATTTCACTGCATTTCCAGGCCCAGGGCAAGGGGTTGGTTCTCTAAGGGGAGGACTGGATAAGCGGACCCACAACTGTGTTTTTTTAAGGGCTGACCCGGGAGGCCCAAGTGGACGCCAGGAACTCTGGGGGGGAGGAATTCCTCTCGGCTTTCCTGCAGAATTACCAGCCTGGGTACAGCATTCCCCGCCTCTACCTCCTCATCTCCAGCCTGTCAGAGAGCCCTGCTTTGGTCTCCATCCTCAGCCAGGCAGATGACACTTCGAAGACAGTGACAGTGAGGCCCGGGGAGACGGTCATGGTCAAGATCAGTGCCAAGGCTGAGATGATGGGCAGCAGAACCTTCAGGAGTGCGGTGGTGGTCCACTCCAACCGCACCATTGCTGTGCAGGCACTAAATGCTAAGCCCAACACAGCGGAACTGACAGTGCTCTGGCCCGTCCATTCTCTGGGCACTGAGTATTTTGTGCTCACGCCTCCTGGCACCTCAGTGGGAAACGTCAAGGAGTTTGCTGTGGTGGCTGGTGCAGCAGGGGCTTCAGTCAGTGTCAACCTGAAGGGGTCAGTGATATTCAAGGGCAAATTGTACCCCGCTGGCAAGGTCCTAACTGTGACTCTGCAGCCCTATGAAGTGGCCCAACTACAGAGCACAGCCGATCTCTCAGGGTCAAAGGTCACATCCAGTCACCCTGTGGCTGTCTTCTCTGGCCACAGCTGTGCCCAGAAGCACACAACTTGCGACCACGTGTTCGAGCAGCTGCTACCCACGTCTGCCTGGGGAACCCAATACGTGGTCCCCCCACTGGCCTCCCAGTCCCGCTTTGACCTGGCCTATGTGGTAGCCAGCCAGACCACGAAGCTGACCTACAGTCATGGGGGTATCACCAGCTCCCGTGGGCTTCAGATGGGTGACGTGGTTGAGTTTGAGGTTCGGCCAACCCGGCCACTCTACCTACGAGCAGATGTGGGGATCCAGGTGCTGCTGTTTGGCACAGGTTCCATAAAGAATAATGTGATCTATGACCCTTACCTGGCCCTGATCCCAGACGTGACAGCCTATTGCTCTGCCTATGTGCTCAAGACTGTGCCAGGCTTTGTGGGGGTGGCCGTGATGGTAGCCCAGACAAAGGCTGTCGATGGCCTGACTATGGATGGGCGCACACTGGGGGCCAAACTTGCCTGGGCGCCTGTGCCGGGCAGTGAGTTCTCATATGCTGAAGTGGACCTCGTCACTGGTGACACTACCCACATGGCTGAGGCTGCTACCAACTTCGGGTTGCTCATCTTCGGGCTGGCCCAGGCTGTGGGCTACGGGACAGCACCTGCCTGCAGCCGGAGTGAGTGAGATCTCTGATCCTGTCCACTTGGAGACCCTTTTCCTCCCTGCCTGTTTCTCTCGAGCTGTCCACCTCTCATCTTCCTCCTCCCTGATATCCTTCCTTAAATCTTTCCAGCCCCTCTCCTTCAGCCAGGAACAAGTCTAATTGTTTAGCTACCAGAGTGACTGTGGACATGACCAGTCACAGGAGATGCCAGTCAGGAAGACCTTACCATGCTGGCATCAGCCCTTGTCGGTTGGTTTGTGGGGCACTGCGGGGGGCAGGCCTCTAGGGGACATCCAGGGTGCCAAGATGGAGGGATCTTTGGGGAGGGATCAGCTTGACAGCTTCTTAGCAGTCAGTTTGGAAATAGTTTGCTATTTTAGCAATTAAGACAGCTACACCTGTTGCTACCTGCTACTCCACTTCTCATCTATGTAGAAAGCTTAATACCCAAACTCAGATCTAAAAGTACAGTAAATGGTGACCACCATTTGGGGCATCTCTCAGCGAACCAGGGATTCTTCTAGGGTCTTCAGTTTTGAAGGGCTGCACAGGACCTAGCCTGGGTGCAATCTCTAGGCTCAGTGGTAAGGGTGACATGCTATAGCCACAGTGGCCTAGTTTAAGTCCTAGCTCTGCTTTGGTAACCTGGCTATGTGACTTCAGCTCTCTGGGCTTTGGTTTCTACATCTGTAGATTGGGGGATAATAAGGGCACCCCTTCACAGGCTGTAGTGAGTGTGGGACCAGTTAACAAGTGTAAATCATTTAACGTGATGAGAGGCACCATAGAGCTAAGTTACCTCCTAGTATTAGGAGAGGTCAAAGGCAAGAGTTCAGGGACTGGGGGGCTGACAAGGAAGGGCTATTTCTTCCCAGGCGGACCCCTTTAATCTAGGATCTGAGATGCTGGGGTTCGCTGTCCCAGAAAAAATGCCCTCCTGGAGGTGATGGAATCCGTCAGACTTCAAGGGACCATTTGGGCCTTGGGGTAATGGATAATTGACTAAAACAGGTAACAAGCTAACACCTGGATTCAGTCCCAACTCTTACTTATGTCTTAATTTATTGAAACCTGACAGCAATCCCGCTCAGCTCTCTAGGAATTAGGAATTATTAATATCTTCATGCTATAAATGAGGAGCTTGAGGCAAACAGCACTTAAAATAACCTGTCCGGCGTCACAGAGCCAGGATCCTTGATTAGGTAGCCTGTCCCACAAGTTGCTTCTGTTTTGCTCAACAGTCTATATTTCATTGTTTAGTCCTTAAAAAAAAATCCCTTAGGCTGGGTGTGCTTCATCCCAGCTCTCTGCTTTCTAGGAGGCTGAGGCTGGGGATCAAAAGTTTGAAACTACCCAGGGGCAACTTAGTGAGCCCTTGTTTCAAAATTTAGACAAATAAACAAATCTTGGACTATAAGTCAGTGCAAAGACCCTGGGTTTGGTCTCTGCTACTAAAAAAACCCCCCAAATCCCCTGAACTGGACACGGGCATGCATGCCTGTCACCCCAGCTACTCAGGAAGTTCAGACTGGAGCAGTGCAAGTTTCAGGGCCCCTGGGTAATTTAGAGATCCTGTCAAAATAAAAATATAATAATAAAGACTGAAGCCGAAGGTATAGCTCAGCAGCGTAAGGGCCTACCTGGCAAGCACAACGTCATGAGTTCAATCCCTGGTGTCCCCAAAATAAAATAAAATAAAATAAAAATAGTAAAGGCAGAGATGTAGCTCAGTGCTCCCTGAAAGTAAGGGAGAGAAAAACATGAAGTAACATTGCAGTAACTGGTTCTGCTCGGCCTTTACTACCTTTGGCTTTTCTGGGCTGAGCTGTGACAAATGGGGGGATCAGAAAACCTGAGGGTTTCAGGGAGTCCTGAACAGCTGCCTCTGTCTGCTTGTGACAGTGCAGATTCAGTCTCCCCATCTACATGAGCAGTCCTGAGGGAAGTCCTCACACTCTCTCTGCTGAGTGGAAGGACCCTAGAACTGTCCCTGGACCATTTCTAATGCTCTGTTCCATGCACAGCCACACTGCCCACTGTGAAGCCCTCCTGCCAAGGTGTGCAGTGTGCAGCCGGGCAGCACTGCCAGGTGGTGGGCAGCCAGGCCAGATGCGTGGCACAGTCCACCGCCGTCTGCCGCGCCCAAGGCGACCCCCATTACACCACCTTCGACGGCCGTCGCTATGACATGATGGGCACCTGCACCTACACGTTAGCCGAGCTGTGTGGGGAGGATGAGACCCTGCCGGCCTTCAGCGTGGAGGCCAAGAACGAGCACCGGGGCAGCCGCCTCGTCTCCTACGTGGGCCTGGTGACCGTGCACGCCTACAGCCACTCAGTGACGCTGGCCCGTGGGGAGGTTGGCTTCGTACGGGTGAGTGTCCGCCTTGGCGGGTTGTAGAGAAGCCCCCGTGGGGCCGGCAGGTGGAGGGAAGGGGCTGTAAACCAGTCGCAGAACGTTCAGGCCTTTTCCTAGCCCGATTCCACCTTCAGAAATGTTTAGGGCATTTGGCGAGATGTCTGGGTGGGTGGGGCCCAAAGCCAAGCAAAACAATGCAAAACAAAAGAAAACAAGCCAACATAGCTCGTGTAATAGCAAAGGAAACAACAAAAGAAAGAAAACTGTCTAAATACCCAACACAGAGGGATTTCTGAATTGACCAAATCACCAGGTAGTGAGTGCATATCTCCTTCCTTCTTTCCTTTATTCCTTCTTCCCTTCCTCCCTCCCTCCCTTCCTTCCCCCCTCCTCTCCTCCAGCATCCTTTCTCCCTTTCCCCTACACCCTCCAGTCACTGGGGATTACTAGGATTGAATCTAAGGCCTTTGCACAGAGCTATGTTCACAGCCCTTTTTAAAAGCTTTATTTATGTATTAATCTATCTATTTTTAGTCCTTTTATTTTTTAAGACAGAGTCTCACTAAGTCTCTAAGTCGCTCCCAGGATGAGCTCAAACTTGCCATCCTCCTGCCTCAGCCTCCCAGGTTACTAGGATAATAGGTGTATATCACCAGGCCAAGCATCATCCTGCATTTATTAAGCAACTGCTATTCTATGAGACACTGTCATAGCCCAAAATAAAACAATGATTAATACAGGCAAAGACCCCTGTCCTAGTGGAGCTGACATTTTAGTGGGGCCATTACAGATGATAGATATGAGAAGTTTGCAAATTATATTTGAAAGGCTTTGAAGCTCTAGGTCAAAAGGAAAGGGCTGGTATTTAAAATAGGGTGGTTGCTGGGCATGGTGGTGCACACCTATAATCTCAGTAACTGGGAGGCTGAAGCAGGAGGATTGTTGTGAGTTCAAAACCAGCCTGCGCTATCAAGTGAGCTCAAGTCCAGCCTGAAAACTGCATAGTGAGACCCTGTCTCAAAAAAAAAAAAAAAAAAAAAAAAAGCCAGGGAGGTCAGGGATGGTTTTACAAAGTAGTAACATTTGCGCAAAAACTTTTTAGGAGGTGAGGGAGGGAGCTAGTGCACAGCTCAGGGAAGAATGTATTAGAGCCCAGGAAGCGCAAGGGCAAAGATTGCAAGGCTAAACCAGATGTGGTGGCCCACGCTTGAATTTCTGGTACTCTGGAAGGCTGAGGCAGAAAGATCACAAGTTTGAGCTTAGCTAGGGTTGAATCTTAGTGAAATTCAACCCATGGTATCACACAAACAAACAAACAAACAGGGAGATACCAAGGCTGAAAGGGTCACAATACCACAAGGAACTCCACTGTGTCTGGTGCAGGTGAAGTGGGAGGAGATGAGGCTCCCGGTGGGGGGAGCCAGGGGTCTGACCACCCCATTCCCCCTGCAGATCGACAGCCAGCGCTCCCGCCTGCCGACCTCCCTGAGCAACAACCGCCTGCGCGTGTACCAGAGCGGGACACGGGCCGTGGTGGAGCTGGACTTCGGGCTGGTGGTCACCTACGACTGGGACTGCCAGCTGACACTCAGCCTGCCTGAGCGCTTCCAGAACCAGGTGTGTGGGCTGTGTGGCAACTATAACGGCAACCCCGCTGACGACTTCTTCACCCCGGATTTGGAGCAAGTTGAGGACCCTGATGAGTTTGCCAGTCACTGGAAGCTGGATGACGGGGACTACCTGTGTGATGATGGCTGCCAGAACAAGTGTCCTGCCTGCACCCCAGGCCAGGCCCAGCACTATGAAGGCAGCCCTCTCTGCGGCATGTTGACCCTGCCTAATGGCCCCTTCGCTGCCTGCCACGAATCCCTGGACCCCCAGCCCTTCCTGAAAGATTGTGTATATGACCTGTGTGTGACAGGAGGGGAGCGGCTCAGCCTGTGTCGTGGCCTCAGCGCCTATGTCCAGGCCTGCATGGAGCTGGGCATCTCCATTGGGGACTGGAGGTCACTAGCCAACTGCCGTGAGTATTACCCACACTGTGGGGGACAAGGAGCCCCTTGTCTATGCTAAATTCCTGGGCACTTATGGTGGGTTAGTCTGGTGCTGGGCAATGCCAGGGGCACAGTGGTGGCCTGGACAGCCAGGCTCTGCCACATTAAGCCTGAGCTTGGAGGCAGACATATCACTAGGCAGTGACAGTTTGGTGTGGTTGGGGCTGGGATGGGCAAGGCACAGGCAGAGGGTGAGTGGTGAGACAGGGAGACACAGGTGGAGCGGTTGGAGTTCAGATAAAGAAAGTTCAAAGAAATACAGGACAGCAGAGAAGGGCCCTGATGCAGCCAACGTGGAGGTTTCATGGAGATGTCTTAGAAAAATGGATAATTTCAGCCCTCTGGAAGGCTAAGGCAGGATGACCGTGAGCTGAAGCCCAGCTTGATGGACTCAATTAAAGGCCCCTCAATTTAAAAGGACTTCAGAGGAGTGGTAAATTTCAGGAAGATATGTTGAATTTGTCTAGGTCACTGCTGTGTCCTCACTCTGCTGTGTCTTCAGTAAACCTCCCTGTACCCCCAGTTTCCAAATTCCTGGCACAGCAGAGGAGCCAGGGGGGTCATTCATCTACCCAGGCATTTCACTCGGTGCCAGGACCTGTCCTTGGTGCTGATTCAGCAGAGCTTGAAACAGACCAGATCTCCACTCCCACGGAATTTATATCCCGAGGGAGGGGGAGCATGCAAACCGTGAAATATCTTCAGGAAGCAAGAGAAATCAAATTCATGTGAAGGAAGTGTCCAGGGGGCCGTGAGCCTGGCACTCAGAGAAGGCCCTGGGAGCAGGTGACAGTGAAGCTGAGAGCAGGGTCCGGCGGAGGAGGGACAGGCAGCAGACAGGCAGCGCCTGGCGGACTCTGAATATGGAGCTCGCAGGATTATCCGACAGGCTGGGTGTCCTGTGCGTGGGGAGGGATGACCCGAGCCAGCCGGGTGGAAGCGCCACTGCCGCGAGCCCATCTCGGGGGAGCAGCGGGGTCTGCGTGGCGGGACGCGCGGGGAGGCCTGGCGCGCCTCGCTGACCCTCTCTGTGCCCCGCAGCCATGACCTGCCCGGCCAACAGCCGCTACGAGCGCTGCGCCCCCGCCTGCCCGGCCACCTGCAACTCCGAGGCGGCGCCCTCCAACTGCTCGGCGCGCCTGTGCGTCGAGGGCTGCGTGTGCCTGTCCGGCTTCGTGGCCAGCGGCGGCGCCTGCGTGCCGGCCTCGTCCTGCGGCTGCGTCCACGAGGGCCTCACGCTGGCGCCCGGCCAGCAGCTGTGGGGCGACGACCTGTGCCGCTCGCGCTGCACCTGCGACGGCGCCACCCAGAAGGTGACCTGTCGCGACACGCAGGGCTGTCCCCAGGGCGAGCGCTGCCGCGTGGAGAACGGCCTCCTGGGCTGCTACCCCGACAACTTCGGGACCTGCCAGGCGTCTGGGGACCCGCACTACGTCAGCTTCGACGGCCGGCGCTTCGACTTCATGGGCACCTGCACCTACCTGCTGGTGGGCACCTGCGGCCAGGACCGGCACGAGGCGCTGTCCACCTTCCGCGTGCTGGTGGAGAACGAGCATCGCGGCAGCCAGACCGTGAGCTACACGCGGGCCGTGCGGGTGGAGGTCCACGGAGTGCAGCTGGCCCTGCGCCGGGAGTACCCGGGCCAAGTGCTGGTGAGCCTGGACCCCTTCCCCCACCTCCGGCCCCGTCCCGGTCTGCATCCAGACGGGGCTAGAGGCCTGCGAGAAGATCTTGCGGGCTGGCCCAGGTGGTGAGCCTGCAATCCCAGTGACCGTGGGCTGACGCAGGAGTTGCAACTTAACAAGACCTAGTCTCAAAAAAGGGAAGGGGTGTAGCTCCTGACAGAGCGGGGTTCAGAGTCCTAGTATTGAAAAAACAAACAAACAGAAAACCCCTCGTGGCTGGTGGTAAGGGCCCAGGGCTCCATCCAGAAACCACGCAAAGCCTCCCTTCACAGTCTGGTGGTGGAGATTTGCTGAGATTTGATTTGAAAGTGTTTTAAAGCAGCCTCAGCACCCACCAAATGCTCCATCTGTGTTGGGTGTTACGGTTTTCGTTGTTGTGAACTTTCAGACTTGTGGTCCTTGCTAGGAGGATGACTTTAGGGTCCCACAGTGGGCGCGGTGCGTTGGGAGATAATCGAGGCGCACACTTCTCAGCCCAGGATGGGGTTGGGGACCACTAGTTTCCAGGGAGAGGGGGCGCCACACCCTGGAAGCACAGAAGCCCTGGTTTCCTCTTCACAAAGAGGTGGAAGTGGAAAATGGGGTGGTTGGGGTGTGGGCACCATAGCTATTGATTGCAGTGGGGCGGTCTGGGCAATGCCCACGTCCTGGGGAGCAGGGTAGATGATCCAGAAATGGGAGACCAAGAGAACTTTCCGTGTGCCAGGTGCTGTACCAAAGCCTTCCCAGCTTAGCTCCCAATCCCCACAGCTTCCTTGGGGGAGGGAAATCTGGCCCCTAAGCCCCAGTGTTTGGTGTAGAGGGCTAGGTAAACAGAAGGCTTAAGTTTTAATATGCATTTATGTTCCTGCCTGAGATGACATTTTACTTGAAGCGTGAATAATAATAACCAACCTGAATTGTTACTTCAGTGTACTAAATGCTTGACACCTATGAATTCATTGCATCTCAACAGCCCTGTGTAGTAGTTCATTTTAAGTGAAGAAACTGAGGCACAGAGAAGTTAAGTCACCTCTTCAAGGGTGACAGAGCAAGGATTTGAAGCCACACTGGTTTGAGGGTCCTTGCTTTTAACCTATTAATCTATTGCATGTCTTGAGGAATGGACAGGGGGAGAAGCAGATAGAAGGAAGAAGGAACAGCAAGTGCAAAGGTCCTGTGGTCAAGAGTATGCTCAAGGAGTTGATCAGTGGCACAGAGCCCAGAGGGGCTTATGTGGAAGGACTAAAGGAAAAGTAAGGTATGATGAGGCAGGAACAGGCTAAGATCTGGCATTTGATCCCAGTAAAGCCATAAAGGATGAGGAGGAGGCCATTAAGGGAAGAGCAGTGGCTCCCATCCAGAGAGAACAGCAGGGGAGGGGCTGATGCAGGATTGAGATTGAAGAGCACAGAAGCACCACATGGATGCTGATGGGGTGCTTTTAGAGAATGAAGTTGAGAGATGGGCCAGAGCAGGATGCAAGGGCCAGTCAGAAAGGCAAAGAGTAGGATGTAGGAGAGGAGAAGTGGGAGTGTACAACCAGCAGGGTAGAGCATGTGCAAAGGCCCTGAGGCTAGGCTGAGCTAAGAGTCATGATGCTGGCATGGCTGGAGTTTCAGGGTTGAGGGGCACTGGGAGTCCCATTAGAGAATAATGGGACTCTGATCATCTAGGGTAGTGATGGCAAATCGTTTAGAGACTGAGTGCCCAAACTGCAATCCCAAACTCAGTTATCGCAAGGTGCCAGCACTGCAATTAAACGTAAATACTGAGGTTTCAGTTTAGCAAAAACCAACTGTGATTGGATGCTCGCTTCTTGGGGGACTTGGCTTCTGTGCTGACAGAGAGGGCTCTGCATGCCTGCTAAGGCACGCTTGCCATAGGTTCATTGCCACTGGTTTAGGGCCTCGGAGGCCATGGCGAGGGGCTTGGACCAAAGCTGACCCCTCAAAGATCAGGCAGCCAGATAAAGAGTGATGACTGGCATTCCAGAAGAGGACGCTGCCAGTGCAAAGGTCCTGAGGTGGGGATGTATGTGCTGTGTTCCAGGAGACAGCAAGGGCTGAGTGTGTGATAGTCAGTGATGTAGGCACAAAGACGAGCAGGCCAAGATCAAACAGGACCTTCTAGGAAAGGGCTTGGATTTAGCCAAGATGGAAAGATAAAGCAGACGTAGCCAGAAGAAAGCAGTGGATGGTGTTTTTGGCAAAATATAAAAGGCCTGAGGCTTAACTACATGTAGGAGAGGTTGAGAACTATTGGAAGCTGGGGTTTGCCTGTAATCCCAGCTCACTGGGAGGCTGAGGCAGGAAAACTGAAAATACAATCTCAGACTGGGCAATTTAGAGACTTAATGAGACCCTATCTCATAATCAAAAATAAAAAAAGGGGGGACTGAGGATGTAGCTTAGTGTGAAGGTCTTGGGCTCAATCTCCAGCAGTGAAAGAAACGAAACAAACCATAGAACAAGGAAGCCTGGGTCGCTGGAGCTAAGCGACAGGGGGCGCCCCAGAGCCCTGGCTGCGCTGACCGGCGGCCTTCCGTCTCTCCAGGTGGACGGCATCCTCCATTACCTGCCCGTGCAAGCCGCAGATGGGCAGGTGCAGGTGTTCCGCCAGGGCAACGAGGGTGTCATACGCACAAACTTTGGCCTGACCGTCACCTACAACTGGGACGCCCTGGTGACTGCCAAGGTGCCCAGCAGCTACGCCGAAGCCCTGTGTGGGCTGTGCGGGAACTTCAACGGGAACGCGGCCGACGACCTGGCCCTGCGGGGCGGAGGCCAAGCTGCCAACGCCCTGGACTTCGGGAACAGCTGGCAGGAGGAGGCCACGCTGGGCTGCGGGGCCACTCCGCCAGGTGACTGTCCCGCGCTGGACTCCATGGTGGCAGAGGAGCTGAAGAACAAGAGCGGGTGCGGGATCATTGCTGACCCCGAGGGGCCCTTCCGGGAGTGTCACAACACGCTGGACCCGCAGGGTGCAGTTCGCGACTGTGTCTACGACCTCTGCCTGCTGCCAGGCCAGTCCCGGCCGCTGTGCGACGCGCTGACCTCCTACGCCGCCGCTTGCCAGGCTGCGGGTGCCACGGTGCATCCCTGGAGAGACCAGCTTTGCCGTGAGTACCGAGGGTGGCCACTTGAGGGCGCAAACTCACGTGTCTTCATTGATTGCACTTTTTTTTTTTTTTTTTTTTTTTTTTTGGTACCAGGGCTGGAACTCAGGACCTCATCAGGCAGGCGCTTGAGCCACTGAGCTAAATCCCCGGCCCCTCTTGGGTCTTTATTAACAGGATCACAGGCCCATTTGGTTCTTTCCAGGGCTGCGTGAAGTGGGGACTGTGTGTTTATCAGACGAGAGCCTGAGGTTTACAAACTTTTCGATTACACACCCGGAATCGTGAAAGCTAGGGTGTCACACACAGGAGGCCTGCGGTCAATATTTGTATAAGGACAGGGTATACCTGGCGGCCCGGGTCTGATTTCTGTATGTTGGTTGTCATTCAGAGCAGTGCTGCTTTTAGGGGCGTGATCCCTTCGCCTCATGGTCCCCAATCGGCCTACTTTACCTACTTACAGCATTTGCCTGGCCCCTGAGAGGCAGTGGGAGAGCCTTGCTTTCCTAGAAGGCCGTGACTCAAGGAGGCTGACGTGGGAAGGTGGAGGGTTTGAAGCCAGCCTGCAACTTAGTGAAACGCTGCCTCAAACTAAAAAATAAACACGGCTAGGGATGTGGTTCAGTGGTAGAGCACTTGCCTACCACGCACAAATCCCTGGGTCTGTCCCCACCGCATGCATGCCCGCGCGCGCGCACACACAGACAAAACCTTGCTTCGGATGTGAGCGCAGAAATGGTCTGCAAACATTTCTGTTTGCTAACAAAGAAATTTGGCAAGCTATGCATACCCTCATTTGAGTTTAAAATTTTTGATTTATTGTCGAAATATAACAATTTATTTAAAAATATGTATGTATACATCATAAGCAAACAGAATGATCAGTTTTAGCACCTTAGCAAATCTTTGTAAACAGTCATAAGTTAAAAAAAAAAAAGTACTAGGTACACTGACCTATGTGGCCCTCAGATATTCATCACTTAGTTTCCACTGTGATCAGAATAATATTGACATTTAAAAATCCAGTTGGTCTAGCCAGGGGTGCTTGTAACCTCACCACTTGGGAGGCTGGGGCAGGACTGCTGTGAGTTCAAAGCCAGCCTGGACTACCATAGTGAGTTCAAGGTCAGGCTGAAGTACAAACTGAGACCCTGTCTCAAAAAAAAAAATCTAGTTGTTACCTGACTTATGTTACTCTTTGAAATGTATTCAGTACGTACACGGCACATAGGTGCACCACCACTGCCCACTGAAGACATCCATAATCAATATGTGAGTGTGACCCAATCGTTTTTCTCCCCCAACTGATATTCCCTCATTCAGTCATTCATATAACAAATACAATCAGATGCCATGTAATGATATTTTGGTCAAAGATGGATCATGTAGCGCTGGGGATTTAGCTCAGCACATAAGCACTTGCAGCAAGTGCGAGGTCATAAGTCCGATCCCCGGTACCAAAAAAAAAAAAAAAAGGATCATATATATGATGGCAGTCCCATAAGATTGTATCTTCTAGTGACATAATAGCCTTCTTAATTTTTCTAAGTACATTGTATGATGTTCACAGAATGACAAAACCCCTTTTTAATACTGGAAGTTGAACCCAGAATTTTGGCACTACATTATATTGCCACCCCTCTTGAATATTTTTATTTTGAGACAGGAGCTCACTAAGCTGCTAAATTGCCCAGGCTGGGCTGAACTTGTGACCCTCCTTTTTTGGTATTTAGATAACCGCCTGCCAGGCAATAAAATATCTTTTTTTTTTTGCAACAAAATATCTTAATGACACATTTTTCCCTCAGAACATATCCTAGTTATCTAGCAACAATGACTGTATTTGTTAAACACTTATCAAATTAACAGTCCTGTCCAAGGCCCTAGGGACACAGTAGGGGAAGAGAAAGAAGAGTCTTTGTCTTCTTGAACTGATGTTCTAGCAGTTTTTAGTTCTAACAGGATCTAGCTTAATGTAACATATTTGTATCTATGCAAATGTTTTTAAAAAATCACAGCATCAGTTAGCTTTGCTGGGTAACAAATAGTCCCTCAAATTCAGTGTGTTAAAGTAAATTGTATTTATTATTTCTCATGATTCTGGGGGCTGCCAGACTGTTCTCTTAACGTAGACAAGCCTGTTGGTCTCTGTAGTTTGCTGGTCTCTGTAGTCACTGAGGTTGAATGATCTCTGATGGCTCTACACATCTGGCAGCTAGCCGGTGGTTAGTCAAGCCGGTGGTTTGGGGGAGCACCTCAGCTGGGCCTGCCTGTCTTCCCTTCACTTGGCTTCAGCTCCCAGCAGGGTGACCCAGGATTCCTTGCAAAGTGATCTCAAGATTGTGAAGAACAACAATAAGCCCCACTGCAGATGCAGATGCGGCCCGGGGCCAGTGATAAAACTCAGGGCCTTGTGCTTTCTCATCCCTGGCCAATTTCAAATTTTATTTTGAGAGATGGTCTTGCTACATTACCAAGGATGCCCTTGAATTTTTGATTCTTCTGTCTCAACCTCCCAGGTAATCTGGCATTACAAGAGTATGCCCTAAACCCAGCATACTTTTCAAAGCCCTGATTGACATTGTATTTGCTAATTCCTTGATGGCCAAAACTAGCATGGATACATTATTTAATGACCAAGTCCTGTTCCCATGACAAGGCCCTTAAATGAACTGGATGCTAAATAAGGAATTGTATATAGAATGTACGCAATTCAGAACAACAACAACAACAAATGGTCAAAGGAAATCCAACTTGATGGCTTTGCTTTTATTTGCATAACTCTCAAGCAGTACTGTAATGTTTAACAGAACATAAAGACACAGTGCTGGAGTATACAGTACAATCAGCAAAAATTATAGTATAAACAAGGTGTACTGTACAAAAAAAAGACATTGAGGCTCTATCAACAAAATGTTCAGAAGTGTACAGAAAAAGACAAGCCAGGCATGGTGATACACACCTGTAATTCCACCACTTGGGAGGCTGAGGCAGGAGGGTCAACTCAAATTCAAGGCCAGGTGATATAGTGAGTTCAAGGTCAGCCTGAACTCAGAATAAAAAACCAGATGGGTCATTAGTCCAAATGGCAAGTTGTAAGTCCAAACAGTGTGCTTTAGTTGTAAGCCTGGACGGTTGATGGTCCTTACACAGGAGCATCTGCACCAGGGTCAGAAGGTGCTTCTGAGCGCAGACTGCTCATCGTTACCACACGCCTGTCCAGCATTTGAAACAGCATTTGAAATGCCAAGGAACTAAACTGTCACTCTTTATTATTATTATTCAGTGATACTGGGGACTGAACCCAGAGCCTTCACTGAGCCACATCCCAAGCCCTTTCTTATGGTATTTTTTTAAGAAAGAGTCTCCCTAAATTGCCCATGCTGTTCTGAACTTGGGATCCACCTGCCTCCCAGAGGGTTGGGATTACAGACTGTACCACAGTCCAGGTGCTTTCCCAGGTGGGAATAGAATCTTAATTCTCAGGGTCAGACTACCTGACTTAGGGTGCTTCCCAGGCCCCACTGAGTGAACCGGCTTATGCCATCGGGCCAACCTTATGAGTGTGCGTGTGTGTGTTAGTGTTGGGGACCGACTGTTTCACCTCGGGATGGGCATTCCTGGTGTTAATAGCCTCTCTCCCTGCAGCACCGAGCTGTCCTCCTCACAGCCACTACGAGCTGTGTTCCCATGGCTGCCCACTGTCCTGCGGGGACCTCCCGATGTCCGGGGGCTGTGGCTCAGAATGCCATGAAGGCTGCGTGTGTGACGACGGCTTTGTCCTCAGTGGTGAGTCCTGCGTGCCACTGGCCTCCTGCGGCTGCCTGTACCAAGGCGCCTACCACCCTCCAGGTCAGACCTTCCACCCCGGGCCTGGCTGTGACTCCCTCTGCCACTGCGAGGAGGGCGGCCTGGTGTCCTGTGAGCCTTCCAGCTGCGGCCCGCACGAGGAGTGCCAGCCGTCCAATGGTGTCCTGGGCTGCGTGGCCGTGGGCTCTGCCACTTGCCAAGCGTCGGGAGACCCCCACTACACCACCTTTGATGGCCGCCGCTACGACTTCATGGGCACCTGTGTGTACGTGCTGGCTCAGACCTGTGGGACTCGGCCGGGCCTGCACAACTTCACTGTCCTGCAGGAGAACGCGCCCTGGGGCAACGGGCACGTCAGCGCCACCAGGGTGGTCACAGTCATCGTGGGTAACTACACCCTTCGGCTGGAGCAGAGCCAGTGGAAAGTCAGGGTGAGAGGGGAGGTGGGCTGGGGGAGGGATCTGCATGGGAATGGGTGATAGGGGGTGCTCAGCTCAGGCTGCGAGACCGTGAGAGGGTGAGGTGCTGGAGGGCATCTAAGGAGAGAGGAGGCCCCGGGGACCTGGGTCCCTTCCGGGTGGCTGAGCCTCTCCCTCTGAATCTCCCTGCTCGGCTTCCTCTCTTCCACTCCCCCCACCCAACTTGGTGCTGCCCAGCCACCTCCCGGGTCTCCCATGCATTGAGGGGATTTGGCTCAGTAAGAAAGTGGGAGCTGGTGGCTCTGGGGGATTCAAGGACAAGGGACAATTGGTGCTGGCCTCATGACTCCCATAACATCAACAGTACACCACCCGCGGATTTTACATGCTGCCCACAGACTTCATCTGCTGCTAAACCCTTCATGTCCACAGCATCACTGCAGCCTTGAATGGTCCCTGGAAGCAACAGGATTCCCTTCTTGTTCTTCTTTTTTTTTTTTTTTAGGAAATGTTTCATCACTGGCCCAAAGCCCCCGTAGCAAGGGCAGGATTTGAACCTAGGACAGTGCTCCAGGACATGGCGGGCTGGGCTCTGTACTCCGCAATGCTTTTCTGACCAAAAAAGGATTTGGTCTCCAGTGGAAACTGGTGTTTCCATTTACAGTGAGAGCATCTTTCCAGGCATCCCACTAAAAAGCAGGAGCACAGCCGTGGTAGTGCTCTGATAACAGGGATTTACTTAGGTGTTCCTAGGTTACCCTGTACAGTGTTCCCCTAACATAGCCCAAGCTCCTAGAATAGTTCCTGATATCTAGGTAGCTCCAGATCTATAGCAGTTGGGGTTCGATGTGTCTGTTTGTATCCTGCCAAACCCCCACCTTCCCTATGAGGTTGAAATTCTATTTCTATATTTATTTAGTACTAAGAATTGAATCTAGGGCCTTGGCAATGAGCTATCTCCCTTTTGAATTTTTTTATTTTTATTTGACACAAGATCTTGTAAAGTCACTCACATTGAGCTCTCACTTGAGATCCTCCTGCCTCAGCTTCCCAGGGCACTGGTATCACAGGCATGTGCCACCATGGTTGGCTGGGTCACACAGTTCTTTAGCATCAGGCAAGGACATTTGAGAGGCTGGCCCACCCCTCTCAAAGTGTCCCCTCTGAAGCATAGCATTTCTTGCCTCCCAGGTGAACGGTGTGGACATGAAAATGCCCGTGGAACTGGCTGGGGGTCAGATCCGTGTTTTCCAGCATGGCTCAGATGCTGTGATCGAGACTGACTTCGGCCTGCGTGTGGCCTATGACCTCACCTACTATGTGCGAGTCACTGTCCCAGGCAACTACTACCAGCAGATGTGTGGCCTGTGTGGAGACTACAACGGTGACCCCAAGGACGACTTCCAGAAGCCTAATGGCTCACAGGCAGCCAACCCCAATGAGTTCGGCAACTCCTGGGAGGAGCAGGTGCCCGACTCCCCCTGTGTGCACCAGCCAGGCTGTGAGCCTGGTGAGGGGGACTGTGGAAAGTGCAGCTCAGAGCTGGAGGAGAAGTACAAGAAGAATGAGTTCTGCGGCATCCTCACCAACCTCGAGGGCCCGCTGGCTGCCTGCCACAAGCTGCTCGATCCCCAGGCCCCGCTGCAAGACTGTATCTTCGATCTCTGCCTGGGTGGTGGGAACCTGAGCATCCTCTGTGACAACATCCACGCCTATGTGAGCAACTGCCAGGCGGCTGGAGGCCACGTGGATCCCTGGAGGACCGACTCTTTCTGCCGTGAGTGAGGGGGACACCGAGGGGTAAGGGCGGAGGGGAGCTGGAGGCCCGGAAGGAGACTGTGCTGGCAGTGCCCCCGGGCAGTGGTCTGACCCTGTTTCCTGGTCCCACAGCGATCACGTGCCCCAACAACAGCCACTATGAGGTCTGCGCCGACGTCTGCTCCCTGAGCTGCGCTGCTCTCCGGGTCCCACTGCAGTGTCCGGATAAGTGTGCTGAGGGCTGTCAGTGTGACTCCGGCTTCCTCTACAATGGCCATGCCTGTGTGCCCATCCAGGAATGCGGCTGCTACCACGATGGCACTTATTATGAGGTAGGAACCCAGCCATCTGGGACAGCACAGGGACCGTGTCCTGGACCCCTCACTGCCCACGAGCCCTAGAGTCTTGGCTGACAGAATCTCTCCCCTTTCCACCTGCCCCTGGTCCCACCTCGGTCAGCCCTTTCTTAGCCCCTATTTTTGCTTCTTCTGGCCCACCCTCTATGTGGTGGTGGGAAAGAGCTTTCTAAGTGTGACCATGGAGCGTTTAGCCTAACCCTCCCCTGCCTCCCCAGATCCGGATTTAACCCAAGGTCTCGCACATGCTGGACAAGCACGCTACCACTGAGCTACAACCCCAACCCTTTAAAAGACTATTTTTGAGGCGAGATCCTGCTAAATTGCCCAGGCTGATCTCAAACTTGTGATCCTCCTGCCTTCAGCCTCCCAAGTAGCTGAGATTGCAGAGACACAGCCCTGCACCTGGCAAAGACTCAGCTGTGTGTCCCTGATTTGGGCAAAGGCGGCCTTCCTGACCACAAAGATGGAATTTGTCCCTGTTGCGTCAGCTGCTGGCCAGCTCCCTTTGCTTCTCTCTTCCCCTCTCTGGCGCCCTCCTTTAACCTGAATGTGTTTGTCCAGAGTCTGTCTCTTGCAGGACTGAGAACATGCTTGCTGCTGTTGTTTTTGTGTCTTTGTTTTGAGTACGGGGTGCAGGGGTGTTGAACCCAGGGCCTTCACACTCAGCTGCAACCCAGCCCTTTTTCATTTGCATCTTAAGATAGGATCTTGCTAAGTTGCGCAGTCGCTCGGGCTGGGCTTGAACCCTCAACCCTTCTCTTCAGGTGTGCACCGCCATACCTGGCTCAGGTCTAAGAGCTTTTCAAGGGCAACAACCCTCTCTGTCATTGTCCTCGCACGAACGATAACAGTAATAACAGAAAATGTGTGGATGGATGGTTCTTACTGTGTATATCTGTACTCATAGAAAGCCTTCTTATTAATACAATTCTCAAACATGCAACAGGTGAGAGGACGGTGGAGCGAATCCCCACCTACTTGTTACTTTGCTCTCAAAATGAGCAGTGCTTCCCCCTTATTTCATCTGTACCCCGCTTTCCTCTCCAGTGTGGACGACTGACTGAAGGAGGCTTTTTTCCTTTCATCCTTACTTCATTCATGCACGCTGTTAACGGGCTACACTTTCATAGGTCGACGCCATTGTTATCTGTAACTTTCAGATGAGGAAACTGAGGCATAAAGAAGCCAGGTAGTATTGCCCAGAGTTATGCAGTCGGAACCAGCAGAAACAGGTTAAACCCACACGGTTTGCTCTTAATTATTACTTCTCACCATTTCTCCTCTGCAGCAACTGTCTTTAATAGTTGCTTTGAACTCCTTCATCTTCTTTTATTTTATTTCTTGTCCTTTTGAAAAAAGGTCTTGCTATGCCGTCCAGGCTGCCCTTGAACTCTCTTTGTAACCTCAGCTGGCCTTGAACCTGCAACAGTCATCCTGCCTCAGCCTCCCAAGTGCTGGGAGTATAGACGAGTGCCATCATGCCGGGTTCAGTGGATAATTTGGAATGAATGAGAGAGTAAATGAATGAGGTGGACAAATAAATGAATGGGTTGAGGCCAAAGTCAGGGACCCTGCTGAGAGGTACCCCTTTTCATGTCCACTGTACCCCTCTGTGCCTGGAACTTGAGTTGCCAGAGTTGGCTCCCATGGAGGGGTCCCTGATGGCTTTGGTCTCTGTCCTTACAGCCACAGGAGACGGTACTCATTGACAGCTGCCAGCAGCAGTGTGTGTGTCATGCGAACGGAAGCATGGACTGCCAGAACCACAGCTGCAAGCCAGGGGAGGTGTGCAAGCCCTTGGACGGTGTCCTGAGCTGCGTCAAGATAGGTGTGGGGCAGTGGGGCTGGGGCTGGAGGTCTGGGGTGGGAGGACAGGGAGCCGGGAGGCACAGCTCATGGTGGGAGGTGCGGAGGGCTAAGGATGGAGGTGTGAGGCCCTGGGTGCTCAGACCTAAGGGCAGAGCTCAACCAGTGCGGGAATCAAAGATGTCAGAGGGAATCAAGCAGTGGGGACCTGGAGCCAGGCAGGTGTCACAGGGCTTCTGTATGAGGTAGGGACTGGCAACCTTTTCTCTGGCTGAGTGTTTCTCCAGACAGGTCAGTGATGAAGGCTGCAGGCCACATGGTCTCAGTCTCAGTCCTCAATTACGCCATTGTGCATGAAAGTAGCTGCAGATTAAGTAAGTGAAAGGGGCAGCTCCGGTACAAAGATGGGCAACTGGTGATGCCATAGCTTGAGGGCCACTGGCTCAGGTCTTTGGACGCCAGCGGCAAGAATGGGGGAGACAGCGACCCTGGGGAACCGAAAGCAGAGTCCTAAGGTCTCAGGTGAAGGCTCCCAGTGCTGAGGCAGAGGCTCACTAAGGCAAGACCTTGACTGTGGGGCCCCCTACAGGAGAGGAGCAGAGTTTCTAAGGACACAGTCTCAGATATAGACTCCCCCACCCCAAGTCCAGGGCTGAGAACCCTCCGAGAATTAAAAAACAGAACCTCCAGAACTGAGGAGCAGGAGCTGAGACCCTCAGGGCTAATGAGTCAACTAATGGGGACTCCAGGAGTGGGGTACATCAGCCAGGGTTCATTCAGGGGCAGATGCCACACAGTCATTTGAGTGGGGAGTTTAATGGGGAGACGACTTACCGGCTAGGGGTGTAACTCAGTGGGGGAGTACTTTTCCAGCATGTCCGGGGTTCTGGGATCAATCCCCAGTACCATTATGAGAGAGGAAAAGAGAGAGAGAAAGAGAGAGAGAGAGAGAGAGAGAGAGAGAGAGAGAGAGAGAGAGAGAGAGACAAGAAAAAAATTTACCACTAAAAGGGATAAACAACTAAGGGGCAAGGAGAACGCTGAGGAATACAGACCCCAGAGATACAGGGAGCTCCCTGGGCTCCATCAGAGCGCGCCAGGAAAGCAGAGATGGGGCAGGACCCTGGCCCCTAGCCCTCTCCCTGCAGAGGGCCCTGCTGCAGCCCCCTGGGGAGCCAACGATGCACAGGCTGGAGCTGCAGGAAGGAGCCTCTCACTAGGGTGCTGGCAAAACTCGGTGGGAAGCTGCCAGCTGGGACACCAGGTGTCCCAGATGCCCCTGCCACAGGAGCGGCAAGAGAGTAGCAGGGCGTGTATCCTGCGGTGACTCTCCAGCGCCCTCTACTGACAAAACTTAGTCTGAATGGATTTGGAGCAAGCGGCGGTGAATTGCTATTGGGCGCACACAGGGTTAGAGAGAAAGAAGTTGGAAGGCAGCAACCTAGACGCAGGATTCCTGAAAACAGGGAGCATGAGTACAGTGACAGTGAGGATGGGGTCTTGGACACAGGCGCACTCCAGCATAAGGCCTCAGAAATGAGACCCCTAGTGTGTTGGGGGCAGCGCATACTTGTGCTCTCAGTTACTCAGGAGGCTGAGACGACAGGCTCAGCATGGACAGTCTACCAACCGAGACTCTTTCTCAAAACAAAAAATATGAAGGGCTGAGGGTATGGCTCAGTGCTCCCTGGGTTCATCTCCAATTCCAGGAAAAGGAGAAAAGAAGGAAGCGCTGGGCATGGTGGAGCACACCTGTAATCCCAGCAGTTGGGAGGCTGAGGCAGGAGAGTGCCATGAGTTTGAGGTCATATAGGACATAAGTGAGTTCAAGGCCAGCCTGAACTACCCAGCAGGACTCTGTCTCAACAACAAAGAAAAGAAAAGAAGGAAAGAATGAGGGAGGAGATGGAGGGAAGAAAGGAAGGGAGGAAAGGAGAAAGGGATGGATGGAAGGGGACCCTTACAGGTAGATGGAGCAGTCCTCAGGGATGGAGCAGTCCTCAGGGATGGAGCCTTGCACCCCAGTATCTCCAGGCTGAGAGACTCTGATGGGGACCCCAGGGCCAGGGTAAGGAAGGTGGGGCCAGGGTGTTGGGTTTCAGGCAGAGCAAAGTCTGGGGCTGGGGTTTCAGGTAAGGATGCCCCTGGTGGACTCAAGGACTGGGGTGTGGGTCTCAACCTGAGGCTAAGATCTCAAGCAAGGAAACCTAGGAGTCTGGGTCTTGGCTCCAGGACCCCAGGATTTGGGTCTCAAACAGCAAAGTGCAGGTCTGGGTTTTCAGGAGAAGGATGCTAGGGCCTGAGTCTCAGCTGTAGGGACCACTGGGACCTGGCTCTTAGATGTGGGTCCCTTGACACCAGGTTTTGAGCATCTTCCACCACAGGGCCTGAGAGGCTGACTCTGGGGACTCCCAGGCCTGGCCTTAGACAGAGGTCTTAGGTAGCTCTGGTCTCAGCTTAGTAACTTTTACAGGCAGTGACCCTGTCCAGACTGGAACAGATCCGGGTGGAGGCCCTCCTTACTGAGTGCGGCCCCTCAAGGTCCCCTTTTGTCTGCCCTCAGACCCATGCGATGGTGTGAAGTGCCGGCCACAGGAGACATGCAAAGATCAGGGTGGCCAGGGCGTGTGTGTGCCCAACTACCACGTCACGTGCTGGCTGTGGGGCGACCCGCACTACCACTCCTTCGATGGCTGGGCGTTTGACTTCCAGGGCACCTGCGACTATGTGTTGGCAGCAGTGGGCTGCCCGGGGGTCAGTGCTGAGGGCCTGACACCCTTCACTGTCACCACCAAAAACGAGAACCGAGGCAGCCCTGCCGTGTCCTACGTGAAGCGTGTCACCGTGTCTGCCCTTGGCACCAACATTTCCATCCACAAGAACGAGTTTGGCAGAGTCCGGGTATGTACAGCAGGATGGACCTGAGCCACCCAGCAGGGCAGGAGGGGTTGTGAAAGCTACAGTTAGAAGCTCAAAGTCCTCTTCACCTGGGCCTGCAATAAAATGGTGACAGAAAACCATCTCCCTCTGAGTGAGAGCCCTGGGCTCTAGTGGAGGACTGCAGTGTTGGCCCTGTGTGAGGCTGGATCTGGATGCAAATCCAGACCCCGCTTCTTAGGGGCTCTGCAGTGTGGGGCAGGTGACTTGACTCATGGTTTCCCAGCATCCTCATCTGTGAAATGGGTATCATACGACCCTGACTTAGGTCAAGGGTCAGCTTGGAGTCTGGCCCAGGGTTTGCAAGGGAACAAATGAGAGGCCCAGGGTATGGAGAGAATCAAGGAAATGGTGAGAGAGGAAGAAATAAAGTTCACAGAGCCAGAAGGAGGCCAGGCACAGGAAAGGCACCCAGTAGGTGGTGATGAGACAGCGACACATCAGGACCCAGAGGAGCACAGAGAGTGAGAAGAGATGAGGCGGAGATGGAGATCCAGAGAGAAAATACAGAGGACAGAGTTTCGGAAAGAGAGACAGACTTGGGCAAAGTGAGAGGGAGAGCCATGCAGGGAGAGGAAGGAGATCGAGACAAGGGAGAGAACCAGAAAAAGCAGTTGTGAGGTCTCATTCCACAGGACCTGGATGAGAATGCACATCTGTGTTTGTAAAATGACTTTACAACCTCAGTCAGTAGGAAGACATGGCAACTCTCAGCCTCTGCCAGGATGAGGGAGGAGGTCTCCCTCCTTCTGTGACCCCTGTGCTTTCTTCTCTCCCCAGGTGAACGATGTGTTGACAGCCTTGCCTGTTTCTGCTGCCGGTGGGCGGATTTTAGTGACTCAAGGCCCAGGAAAGGCCATATTGGTGGCTGCCTTTGGGCTTCAAGTCACCTACAACTGGGATTGGCAGGTAGAGGTGACACTGCCCAGCAGCTACCATAGTGCAGTGTGTGGGCTCTGCGGGAACATGGACCAGGACCCCAGCAACGACCGAGTCTTCCCTAACGGCACCCTGGCTCCCTCCATACCCACCTGGGGTGGCAGCTGGCGAGTTCCAGGCTTGGACCCATTTTGCTGGGACGAATGTCAGGGGTCCTGCCCAACATGCTCTGAGGATCAACAGGAAAAGTACAAGGGCCCCAGCTTCTGCGGACCTCTGGCGCCCGGCTCTTCGGGCCCCTTTGCTGCCTGCCATGCTAAGGTGCCCCCCGAGAGCTTCTTCACGGGCTGCCTCCTGGATGTGTGCCTGGGTGGTGGGGCCCAGGACATCCTTTGCCAGGCGCTGGCTGCCTACGCTGCTGCCTGCCAGGCCGCTGAGGTCGTCATCGGGGAGTGGAGAACACAGGCAGGCTGTGGTGAGTCCGGGAGCAGGGTTGCGGGCAGGCGTGGCTGGCCCTTCAGGCTCTTTCTGCTTGGTTGTCTGTTGCTTATCTCCCTTAGATTCTCTCTGTCTCTGTTTCTTACTCTCTCCCTCTCGCCTCTGATTGGGCCTCTCTGCATCTTCCTCCCCAGTCTCTCTGTGTCTCTTGCTCTCTCTTGGTCTCTTTCTGGCGGTACTTGTTGGTCTGTCCCCTCTCATCCTGGCCCAGATGCCAACATTGTCTCCCTCCTGTTTCTTCATTCACCCACAGAGATCCCCTGCCTTGCCAACAGCCACTATGAGCTCTGCGGCCCACCCTGCCCGGCCAGCTGCCCGTCCCCCTCCTCTTCCTCCACCCCAGCTGTATGTGAGGGTCCCTGCACCGAGGGCTGCCAGTGTGACGATGGCTTCGTGTTGAGCGCTGGGCGCTGTGTCTCCCTGAATGGAGGCTGTGGCTGCTGGGCCAATGACATCTATTATGAGGCTGGCAGCGAGTTTTGGGCTGATGGTACCTGCTCTCAGCTGTGCCGCTGTGAGTCTGGGAATGGCTCACTGGTCTGCACGCCTGCCAGCTGTGGGTCGGGCCAAGAGTGCGCTTTGCTGTCTTCCGGCCAGTATGGCTGCCAGCCAGTCAGCACAGCTGAGTGCCAAGCCTGGGGTGACCCCCATTATACCACCCTGGATGGGCACCACTTTGACTTCCAAGGTACCTGTGAGTACCTGCTGAGCGCACCCTGTGACACGCCGCCCAAGGGCACCGAGAACTTCACCGTCACCGTTGCCAACGAACACCGGGGCAGCCAGGCAGTCAGCTACACTCGCAGCGTCACGCTGTATGTGTACGGTCATGCCCTGACCCTCAGTGCCAGCCAGCCACGGCAGATACAGGTGAGGAGGGTAAGGGGCCATGCAGTGCTGTGGTTGCCTGAGACAGAAAGGGTTCAACCATTCCCCAGAAGGCCTTCCACAGTTTAGCAGAGACATGATGGAGGGGATCAGAGCATAAGTTTGTATGAGTTACCTCTCTTGATGCTGAGACTCAGTATTCAGCACCTGTAATTAAATTTGGCTCACCATTTCAGGGGGTTCATCTGGCTCTGAGGCAAAAATATTATGGTGGAAGGGCATGGGGCAGCAAAGATGCTTAGTTCATGCAGGGAAGCCACGCAGGGGAACAGTGCCAGAGAGGAAGGCACCAGTGACCAGACAGGTGACAACTCCATTACCTACCTAGACACTCGCAGAAGTGTGCCCCACCTATCCATCCCCTAGGCAGCTCCCAAGACCATCAAGTTGATACAATGCAGCTACGCTTAACTGATGGGTGGCACAGTGGTTTTCCCCCTCTTTGAGCCTTAGTTTGTCCCTCTATAAAATGGGTCAGCATAAAGTAACTGCTTAAGGGTGGCTTTAGGGCCAAAAATACTGAGTCTGTGGATGCTTATGGTATTGTAAGAGGAGAGGCCATGTGCTTAGGGAACCCCAGCTAGTAAGTGGTGGAGACAGGATTCAAATCACACCACTCACTCACCGCCTACCTGTCTCCTGATGCCCACAGGTGGACGGCAAGATCGTGAATCTGCCATTCCAGCTCGACTCGAGCCTGCATGCATACCTGAGCGGCAATGACGTGGTGGTGACCACGGACTTTGGCCTCTCCCTGTCTTTTGATGGGGACAGCTTCGTGCGGCTGCGCGTGCCAGCGGCTTACGCGGGCGCCCTCTGTGGCCTGTGCGGGAACTACAACAAGGATCCCTCGGACGACCTGGCTGCGGTGGACGGGAAGCCCAGCGGCTGGCAGGTGGGCGGCGCCCCAGACTGCGAGAAGTGTGTGCCGGAACCTTGTCCGGAGCCCTGCACTGAGGAGGAGAAGAAGGCCTTCGCCGGGACTGACGCCTGTGGAGTGATTTCGGCCCCCGATGGCGCGCTGGCACCCTGCCACACTCTGGTGCCGCCTGAAAAGTACTTCCAGGCTTGTTTGCTCGACGCCTGCCAGGCTCAAGGCCATCCGTCAGGCCTCTGTCCAGCAATCGCCACCTACGTGGCAGCCTGCCAGGCGGCTGGGGCCCAACTCGGCGAGTGGAGGCGGCCAGACTTCTGTCGTGAGTACTGACGCGTGCAGGGATTCCATGATGGGCGGCTCCACTGTCCCTTCCCTAGGATTGGATTCTAAGACAACAGCATCCCTGCTTTGTTGGAGGTTGGGTCCCATTGTCCTTGCCCTGAGCCTGTGTCTCCTGCCAGAAAAAAACACCTTGGTGTTGACATGCCAAGGACCAGGCCATAGAATACGCTGAGAGAATCACACACTCAGATATTTGAGTCAGGTAGTCTCAGAAGCTGCCCTGGGCTAAGTCAAACAGCAAGGAACCTCTGGTCAGAGAGACCTGGTGAGCTGCACTGGGCACTGTAGATGAGCCTGGGGTACTGTAGATACTTGGGATACACCTGCTTACATGGAATCGGTCATTTGCCTGCCGGGGTATCTGGTTAGCTTACACGCTGAGGCACACCGGTCAGATACACCTAGATGGAATCAGAAACACAGCCCTACTCAGATCGATGCTGATTTGTAGTCCGATAGCCATGCTCTTCAGACAGATCTCCTGGGTTAAGTCCATCCCATCAGCATCGGCCAGTTATCCATGCAGCTGGGGGTGGTGTCAGATACTACAGCCAGGTACTCTCAAGTAGACCGATACCCCAAGCTACATCTGTCCCAACATCCTTATGACGTCAACACCCCAAGATGCACACAGTGGTTCAGATCCTGCCTGTCCTGGCTAGATGGATGTGATCAGACTCACCAGGCAGAGTCACCAATCTGCAGGCATACTCAGGATAACACACACCTTGGTTGAAGAACCAGGTCTCTTTCTCTCTCTCTGTGTGTGTGTGTGTCTCTCTCTCTCTCACACACACACACACACGCACACACACACGAGCTCCAATGCTGAACCTCCCCATCAGGTGTTCTGGGTCAGGTCCCTACACCCTGTCCGAGACACCCAAGGTAGCCCGGGCAGGGTCTCCCACTCAGGGGCTCCCTCTGTGTCTCACCCTTGCACCTGCCTGGCTCATCCCTTTCATGTTCCCCACAGCCTATGAATGCTCTGACAACAGCCACTACGAGCTCTGCAGTGACTCCTGCCCTATCAGCTGCCCAAGCCTCTCGGCGCCCGAGGGCTGTGAATCCACCTGCCGGGAAGGCTGTGTCTGCAACTCTGGCTTTGTGCTTAGTGGTGGCACCTGTGTGCCTGTGGGCCAGTGCGGCTGCCTCTATAATGACCACTACTACCTTGTGAATGAAACCTTCTACCCGGGGCCTGAGTGTGAGCGGTACTGTAAGTGCGGGCCGGGTGGCCAGGTCAGCTGCCAGGAGGGCAAGGCCTGTAGGCCCTATGAGGAGTGCCGGGTAGAGGATGGCGTCCAGGCCTGCTACCCCACCGGCTGTGGCCGCTGCATGGTCAGTGGGGGCATCCACTATATCTCCCTTGATGGACGCGTCTATGACCTGCATGGCTCCTGCTCCTATGTGCTGGCCAAAGTCTGCCAGCCAGATCCTGAGGACGATGACTTTTCCATTGTGCTTGAGAAGGATGAGGCTGGAAGACCCCATCGGGTGCTGGTTACTGTGGCTGACAAGGTTGTGAGCCTGGCTGGAGGGCCAAAGGTGGGTGCACAAGGCCTTGAACTGGGCTTTTGCCCACCCAGAGGGTTCTAAAGGAGTCATGGCCCTACCTGTAGGTTCTGAGGGAGGCATTGCCCACACCCGGGGGTTCTGAGGGGGGCACAACCTTGTCTACCCAGGGTTTCTGAGGGAGTCACAGTCTCAGCCTAGAGGGCCTGGGGGGTACACAGCCTCAGCCAGGAGGAGCTGGGTGTGAAGGTAATGGCCCTACCCTGGGGCTACAGGGATGTGGCCCTGTGAGGGGGATTTCAAAGGAAACATGATCCCACCCCAGAAGGACTGAAGGACTCAGCTCTGTCCCGAGGACCTAAGGACACTGCTCCATGCTGTGGGGTGGGGGAGGGGACACCCTCTTGTGGCCCATGATTCCCAAACTCTCTGACCCTTCCATTCAGGTCACTGTGAATGGTGAGAATGTCAACCTGCCTGTGGCCTTGGACCATGTGCACGTGGCTGCTGAAGGCCGAAACATGATTCTGCAGACAACCGAGGGGCTGCGGGTTCTCTTTGATGGCGATGCCCATATCCTGATGTCCATCCCTAGCACCTTCCGTGGACGGACCTGTGGCCTGTGCGGGAACTTCAACGGCAATTGGAGTGATGACTTTGTCCTGCCCGATAACAAGGTGGCCTCCAGTGTGGAGGCCTTTGGAACTGCATGGCGGGCCCCCGATTCCTACCCGGGCTGCAGCGAGGGCTGTGGGTCCCAGGGCTGCCCCGTGTGCTTGGCGCAGGAGACAGCTGTCTATGAGAGCAATGAGGTCTGCGGGAAGCTCCTGGACACAAACGGCCCCTTCTCGGCCTGCCACAGCGTGGTAAATCCCTCTGAGTACTTCCGCCAATGTGTGTACGACCAGTGTGCCCAAAAGGGTGACAAAGCCTTCCTCTGCCGAAGCCTGGCAGCCTACACAGCAGACTGTCAGGCAGCTGGTGCAACCGTGAAGCCCTGGAGGACAGACAGCTTCTGCCGTGAGTGTCCGTGGGCCCTGGATGACACCTGGCCCCATCCCTGGTCCCTCCCAGTTATGCTGCCCTCCGTGGCATCTCCCACCCCATGCTTATGATCACCCTCCGACCCTCTGCCGGTCCCTTCTCAGACGCCTTCAGGACCCACAGCTCATGCCTCATGTCCTCCTCTTCCCTAGGACTCTTTCTAGATCCTTCTGACAGAAAGGGGTGGGCGGGTCGAGGCTCTTCGTGTCCACCCTCCTCCCGACAAGGCCACAACTGCCAGACCCCCAACCCAGGATTGCACCTCTTCTTCAGCTGCCCAGGGCAGGGACACGTCCCCTCAGACCCTCCACGGCAAGGCAGTGGACACTCATGCCCCATGGCAGAACCGTGTCTCTTGTTTCCTCAGGCAGGACGCACACCCAGGCGTGTCGCCTACTCCACAAGCTCGGATCTGTCCTCAGTGCCACAGTGGACACTGTCCGATGCAGTCTTGAACTATTTTCTGGCTCCTAGCGCCAGGGGTCAAGTGGCCCCCAAGATGCTTTCCTTTGGGTGTCCTTAGAGTCCCTCCCACCTGCTGCATTCCACGATATAGTTGGCATTTCACCCAAATTAACCTTTTTTCCCCTACCCTGGTCCCTATCTTAGAACAGCCACACCAGCCACCAACTGCTTAGCCCCCTGTTTTCTTTGTCCCACCTCCAGCCGTCTGTCCGCACCTCCACATCCCAGCTCCGGCCTCTGTTCTTCCCCAAATGTAGCACGGTCATTTTCAGCTGTTGCTGTGTGTCCTGCTGGATATGAGCTCTGGGGACAGGGTTCAGAGGTGTCATCACTTCTGTGCTCAGCACTGCACAACCCAGGCTGGGTGCGTGGCACGTGCACTGGGTACTCAGCGTCCTGTGGAGGTGTGACCCTGCCCTGCCTCCTCTCTCCGCAGCGCTCCAGTGCCCGGCCAACAGCCACTATTCCATCTGCATGCACTCCTGCCAGACTTCCTGTGCGGCTCTCTCTGGCCTCAAAGGCTGCACCGCCCGCTGCTTTGAGGGCTGTGAGTGTGATGACCGCTTCCTGCTCTCCCACGGTGTTTGTGTCCCTATCCAAGAGTGCGGCTGCACCCATAATGGCAGATACTTGCCGGTGAGCAGGGGCTGCTCAGTGGAAGGGGCAGGGGGAGGGGCTCAATGATGGAGTTAAAGGAGCCACCACCATACTTATCCCAGCTGCGGGATTTGGTGGGAAGAACCTCTGTGTGTGAGCTTCCATGGCTGTAGTAACAGAGTATCTCAGACTCAGTATCTTAAAATGATAGAAATGTATTTCCCACAGTGCTGGAGGCCAGAGCTCAGAAATCAGGATCCCTGGGCTGAAGTCCAGGTGTTGGCAGGTGGCACTATCTCTGGGGGCTCCATGGAAGAGAGAATGTCTTGCCCCTTCCACCTTCTGGTGGCTATAGGTGCCCTTGTTTGTGATAAGACCAGTCCGACCTCTGCCACCTCTTCTGTGTGCATCACAAAACCTCCCTGCCTCCTTCTTATAAGGATGCATGTGACTGCATATAGCATCCACCCAGATAATCCAGGATAAATGCTCCGCCCCGAGGCCTTTGATGTAGTCACAACTACAGACACCCTTGTCCACATAAGGTAACACTGGCCGCTTCTAGGACTAGGATCAGATATCTCTGAAGGGCTGTAACTTGGCCTCCTCCAGTGCTCTCCCCGAACTTCATTTTGCTCACCTCTATCGTGGGTTAATCAGCCTCTTGGCGCCGTAGCTATCTGAGAAATCTGAGAATCCGGTACAGTTATGAATGCAAGGTGCCTGCTGAGTGCTGGGCCTTGTCCTCCTTGCTCATCGTCCTCAAAGGACGAGAAATTTACAGCACTACAGTGGGAGGCCCAGCTAACAAGTGCATACTAGTATGAATTGAAATTGAAGATTTGTTCTTCTGGATCTGTTCTTTTTAATGTCTTTTGAGTTCTTTCTATGTATCAGTGATCTACAGATGTTAATTTAATAATCACACCAACCCTACGAGATAGTTACTGTTGCTGTTTTTCTCATTGTACAAATGAAGTTTTGACCCAGAATAGTTAGTTCAGGGCTACTGGCAGTGACATGCATTTACTGGTAGCAGAGTCAAACTTTTGTCTTTCTTTCAGGCCTCATTGCCTTCCAGAAGTCATCCAGGGCCTGCCCCACCTTGAACCTCTCTGCCTGCACCTCTCCATTCTAGCCCTACCCTCATGTCTGGGCTGGAGATAGCATTAGATTTGTTAGCCTGGCATTCAGGGGAGGACTTGATTTAGGTCACAAATGTGGGTGTCATGATATAGTGATGGTACAGTGGCCCCCTGCACGTATAAGTTCCATGTCTGCCTAGTCAGTATGAAAGTTACTGAAAAGAAAACTTTATCTGTCCTGTACACTTTTTTCTTGTCATGATTTCCTAAACAAAAGTGTATGGTATAACAAATACTTATTTGTATAAGCATTGGATCAGGTCTTATCAAAGTAAGTTAGAGATGGTTTAAAGTATAAAGGAGGGGCTGGGGATGTAGCTCAGTGGCACAAGTGCCTGCCTGGCAAGCACAGGTCCTGAGTTCGATTCCCACTACCCAAAGTGAAAGAATGAAAGAAAGAAGGAACAGAAGGACATGTATAGGTAAAATACAAATATTATGCCTTTTTGCATAAGAGACTTGAGCATCCTCAGGTTTTGGTCTCCACAGAGGTGACTGTATTTGTTAACTATGTTGATTTTTTTCTCTTTCAAAGTTGTCAAATTTTATTTTTGAAGAATTCAAAGTTAAGAATAGTTGCAAGAACACTACAAAGCACGCCTGTATACCCTTCATGCAGAGCTTCGATTGTTGACCTTATGCCACACTTGCTCTAGGAATCCTTGCCCTGGATATAAATAGATCCAGTCTCAAAAATAATAAAGAAATAACAGGGGATGTAGCTTGATGTGAAGGCTTTGGGTTCAATCCCTAGTATACACACTTAAGGAAAAAAATGAAAAGAAAGAAAAGAAAAAGATAATGAAGGTCAGAAAGGAGGAAAAAAACCAGAAGAAAGTCAGTTCCTAAAAATAGACTTTCAGGGTCCTGTGTTCTGGAAAAAAGGTGTGGGTACCAGGACTCTGTGATGTCGCAGTGCCCACCCTTATCTTAACAGTTAGCTTTTGCTGGGCTGCAAATCATGTTAGAATGTGTTGCTTAAAACACAACTTTTTGCTTCATTTGTAATTCTGTGACTGCAGTTTGGATGAGGTAGTTCAGCTGCTATGCCCTGAGTTGGCTCTTGTATTTGTAGTTACTTGGTATATCTGTCGAGGACTGCCTAGCCTAAAATGGTGAATTAGTCAGCTTTCTGTAAGCAAATGCTACTTTATAGAGAAAAGGGTTTATTTAGCTCTCAGGTTTGGAGACTGAAGTTCAAGCAACATGATCCAGGCTCCAGTTTGGCTAAATCACATCAGTGTTTGTTTACAGACAGAGTCTCACTATGCAGCAGTTCAGGCTGGTCTTGAACTCACTATGTAGTCCAAATTGGCCTTGAAATTGCGGCAATCCTCCCGTCTCAGCCTCCTGAGTGCTGAGATTATAGGCGTGCACTACCATGCTCAGTGGTAAATCACAGTATAATAGGAACATGTGTTTATCTCAATGTGTGGAGTCTTCTTCCAGTTATGGGGAGGGTTCCATCCCAGTAATTTATCTAATTTAGTCACTTTTCAAAGGTCCCACCTATAAACACCATAGTTGGATTAAGTTTCCACCCTTACATGAGTTGGGCGGGGGGACTAACTGTAGGGCATGACCTGAGCTGACAGCAGTCTTTGTTCACTCAGTCACTCATCCTCCAGGGGACGAATCGAGCCGTGCTGTCACAGTGACGCTCTCACAGGATTCCCAATGAGAGATGAAGTTCTTGAGGTTCACAAACAAACCTTCTACAACAGTGCTTCTGCTGTTTTATTGACAAGGCACAGTCTGGGGACCAGCTTGGGTTCATGGGTAGTGAAAATGCACTCTGCTTTTGAACGGGAGTCTGCTGGGAGACCACCTGCAAGCCCAAGTATGTTGGCACATGCCTGTAACCCGTGCACTCTGGGAGCGTGAGGCAAAAAGATCATGGGTTCAAGCTTAACCTGGGCAATGTGGCAATTTAGCATGACTGGTTTTTTTAAATGTTATTTATTTCTGTATTTATTATTTTTGGTTTTTTTGAGACACGATCTCTCCATGTAGCCCAGCCTGGCCTTGAACTCATGGTGATCCTCCTGTCTCAGCCTCCTGAGTGCTGGGATTACAGGCATGAACCACCATGCGTAGCACCAGACTGTTTTAAAGTAAGAAATAAAAAAAGAGCTGGGGATGTAGCTCATTGAAAAGAGCCCTGGATTCAAATCTTAATACTACAAAATGCAAAACAAAAACACACACTGCATGAAACAGAGGGTGGCTGGAGGTGTGCAGTGCCTCACACCACCCCAACCTGGCCCCTTTCTGTGCACAGGTGAACACCAGCCTGCTAATGTCAGACTGCAGTGAGTGCTGCTCATGCTCCTCAAGAACTGGCCTGACATGCCAGGCCACCAGCTGCCCAGCAGACCAAGTCTGTGATCTCCAGGAAGGATCTTGGGTCTGCCATGTGGCCCATGGGCTCTGTTCCATCTCTGTGGGTGCCAACCTCACCACCTTCGACGGTGTCCACAGCGCCATTGGCTCCCCTGGCATCTATGAGCTCTCTTCCCATTGTTCAGGACTAGAGGAGAGCATCCCCTGGTACCGTGTGCTTGCTGACGTCCAGTCCTGCAAGAACAATGCCAAGGCTGTGGACAAGGTCCACATCTTCTTCAAGGACGGGATAGTGACTGTGACCCGAAGCAAGGGCGTCTGGGTAAGCTGGGACATGCTGGGAAATGTCTCTACTTGGGCTTTTGTTCCTTATATCACAGCGACTCATGCTCCAGGTTGCCTTGTTGTTTCCCTTATCCAGATCTCTACAGTTTGATCTCTATATTTTAAACATTTCAGAAATAGTCCACTCTGTTCTGGCTGAAATTTTGGTGGGTGGGGTTCAACTGGATCTCACTCGATTGAAGCCTCAGCCTCCAGAGTGTTGAGATTACAGGCATATGCCATTCATGCCCAGAGTGGCTGAGTCATTCAGTAGCAAAAATGTACTCACATAACTTGGTAGTTTTGATATTAATATTAAGGCTCTGCTGGTTTAAAGTGACAGAAAACCAAGTTCAAACTGCCTTCAGCAAAGATGAATTATTGTCTCATATAACTAGAAAATCCAAAGATATAGCCTCAGGAGTAGCTGAATGTCATTGTCCTAGCAAAATAATCAGAGATTTGTACCTCTACCTTTTAGACTTCTTGTTTACCAAATCACCTTTCTCAGACAGGGTCAAAGACAACTTGCCAGCTGACCCAGGTCTACACCCTACAGCTAAACTACTTAACAGACAGTGATCCAACAGAGATCTAGAATCTTTTTCTTATAGGGTCAACTTGGATCACATGCCCACTGCTGGAACCAATCACTGTGGACTTAGGGATGTAATTGGTCAGGCAGGGGTCACCTGATGTGTCAGGGTTCCTCAAGAGCATTTCTAGGTTCCATGATTCACCAGAAGAACTCAGCTACACTTAAACTAAGAATTACCACAATGAAAAGCTTTTACCAAGCAAAATCATTACTGGGGAAAGACGAATCCAGCAAAATCCAGAAGAAACTGGACACAAGCTGCCATGCATCCTCTTCTTGTGGAATCACATCAGATATATTTAATTCCCCAGAAATAGTAATCTGTGAGAAAACCTGTGAAATAAGCCAGGTGTGGTGGCACTCGCTTGTAATCTCAGTACTCTGGGAGGCTGAAGCAGGAGGATTGTAAATTTGAGCCCAGCCTGGGTGATTTAGCAGGAGTTTATCTTAAATTATAAGAATTTGAAAAAGGCTGGGTATATAGCTAAGTGCAAAGGCCTTAGGTTCAAACCTCAGTACCACAACAAAGAAGTGAAAAAAACCAAACCAAACCAAAAACCAAACCAAACCAAACCAAACCCTCTGTGAAATGTTATCTATCAGGGAAGTTCATTCAAGTTTCAGTGCCTGGGGTTTTCACTGGGAGTTGGTCACGTACGAACCCTCTGCCTAGCGATCACCACAATTTTAGCCTAGCAGAAGGGAACTCCCAGAAGGTGTTCAGCACCGTTCTCCATCACTGGAACATGAATTTCAGGTGAGCAGAGGTCCTAACCATCTCAACTCCCCTCTTATCTCTGATACATCAGGACTTGGCAGCTAGAAGGTGCGAGGTAAAGTTTGGTTTTATGAATAAAGTCGGCCCTGTTCCTTCTGTGCCAGGCTCTATGCTAGGTAACAGAGATGGCTCAGACTCAGTTCTTATACTTGAAAAGCTGGCAGCTGGTAAGGCTTTCTATCCACTGAGTCTCCATCTACTGTTTGTCGCATCTATCCTTCCTTTCAGGATTTACTTTCCACCTCTATTTCTCCTCCTTTATTTCCTCCCTCCCTCCCTCCCTCCCTTCCTTCCTTCCTTCCTTCCTTCCTTCCCACCCATCTTCTCAGGTCTGTACCTACCTTTCCTCTTTGTCTATGTCACCAGTCATCTGGCAGAGGAGAAGTGAGACACAAAAAGTATTTGGACAGAAGAGGTCACCTCTTTCAAAGAAGTTTCAAAGACAATTAGAAGTGTTAAATTATCCCCCGAAGCAGAACAGTTATTTAAAGCAAATACATGGTTACTGAGTCTGCAGCCTACAATAAAGGAACAGAAATATTCTCACGTGACTATATTTGCCAAGATCATTACTTACCTTCAGGCAACAACATTACAAAACTGAGGGATAAGGTCATTTTTGTTAGAGAGCCACTAATTTACAGCCCACACAAAAGGGTTCTTTTATTCTGAAAACTAGAACCAAACAAGATGATCCTGGGGTTTGACTGTTTATTTGTCAGGTACAACATGCTTTTCTCCCCTGATCCCCTCCTTCCTTCCTTCACTGCAGAGGAGAAATAGCCCATGGCAAAGCAGAAGAGAGCAAAATAGTGAAGCAACTTGTTTCTTTCTATTCCACACGAGCTACCTACCTTTTGTATGGTGCCACCCACACCCAGCACGGGGCACCCTTAATCCCAGCGTCACACCTTAATTCAGCATCCCACACTCCAATCCAGCCTCCTTCCCAGGACCACATAAGGCTTTGGGAAAACCAGTCTCCCTGCTGGTAACAGCCCAGCTATCCTGTGGCTCTGGGTCTCACCTCTTTGTTTGCCTGTGCCCACTACCAGGTGAATGGCCAGCAAGTGGATCTCCCAGCTGAAGTGCTGACATCTGTGTCAATCAGCCGGGCTTCTGACGGTTCTGTGGTAGTCAGCCAGAAGGCAGGGGTCCGGGTGCGGCTGGGAAGCGACGGGCACCTGGAGGTGACGGTTGATGATGAGCTCGCTGGCAAGCTATGTGGGGCCTGTGGAAACTTTGATGGAAAACAGGACAATGACTTGACTGGAGAAGAAGCGGTGGAGAAATGGGAAGCACCAGACTTCTCCACATGGTGAGGGATGTGGTGTGGAAGTCAGGCTTCTTGAGGGAAGGACACCCACCTGGATCCTCATGGGAAAGGGGCATTGCAGATGGGTGCTTAGTCCTCAAAACACGCTGTCTGTTTCTTGCAGTGATAACTGATCAGTCATCGACTAGGAATGAAGACTTCGAGACCTGACACCTTAGAGATTACAGTGTTTGAAGGATGCACTGTGTACCCCTACCCTGCTCTATTCCTTTGCTGAGCCACTGAGGCTGAATGGGAGAGCATTTAATAAATCTCTGAAGCCCAGCTGCATGCCAGTGTGTTAGTCTCATGCCTTTCACCCTCCATTTTCCTCCCCAGTGAGCAGGGTGTCTGGCACATGGTAAATACGGGTGAGAGAGGATGCGTGCATAGATGCATGGGTACAGGGAGAAACAGGCGGTGGGAGTGTGGAAAGGGTGTCTGGGGAAATAAGAAGATGTCGATATGGATTAGAGGAATAGATGGACGATAAGATGAATGGTTAGATGAAAGGAAGAAATGAATGAAAGAGCGAGAAAGAGGGGGAGAGATCTACTGATTGTGGATTTAACATTTATAACCCTAGCAAGTTACTAATTTTCTGACACAGTTTCCTTGTCTCTAAAGTGAAATTAATGCCAGTTTTTATCTCATATAATTGAAATAAAGATTCAGGGTGTTAATCTAGCCCCCCTTCCCCAATCCCCAATCAAGGATTGAAGGGAAGGCACTAACAGACCTTAGATAGCAGTGCTAAACCTGGGGCGTGTGTGCCACAGAAGGTGGCTATCACTGAAAGCTCTGAAGTGTTCATCATCACTGACATAAGGGTCAGATCCTTGTTGCTGGTGCAAACCACCTGTTACATAGTGTTGGTGACCATGTGTTATAAACTGAGTCTAGGGCACATCCAAGCTTGTCCTCGTCCTGCCCTTCTGGGCTGGATTGGAACATGAAAACTCCCCTCTCTTTTCTGGTCACAGCTGGAAGACCTAGGGCTAAGGACTGGGTGTCACTCATAGGGCAAGATCTGCTAAAGAGGAAAAGGCACCTGAGGAAACTCTGTCTTTGTCCTTGCAGGAATGTTTTAATCTTCCTGAGCCTTGTAGTCCTCATCAGTGTTCCTGGAAGCACTCACTGCCCTTCTCTATTGTCCTTGAGTCAGGTGTAACAAACAGATAAACAAATACCAAGGGTCCTCATGGCCTTTTGTTCCTAGAGAACAAGTGGTTGCCCCAGATCCCTGCTACTTTGCTCTTTCTTTTCTTTCCCACCATGCATGGTAACCAGAGCAGGAGTCTAGACCCCACTTCAGGGGTCAGTTTAATGGAGGAGGGATTTACTTGGCTCACGGTTTCTGAGGCCCCAGTCTATGGTTGGCAGATGCCAAGGCAGGAACATCATGGCTGAAGGGTGGGCAAAAGAAAGCTGCCCACCTCCCAGCAGCTGGGAAGCAGCAGGGAAAGAGTCTTCACATCCACTCAGTTGTTCAAATCTCATCACTGGCAATCAGCCCTCCAACACAATGAGACTTTGGGGAGACATTCTGGATCCCAACTATAAGAGGAGGTGCTGAATGCTAGATGGAAAAGCACATTACTTAAACACCAAAGAGTGTCAGATGCTGATGCTAATAAGTAAGATGAAGGCAGAAAATGTACCACTTGGCATTAGCAACCTGGAAGTCCTTAGTTGACATTTTGGTGCAGTGATGGAGGTGGAAATCTGATTTAAAGAGAAACATGGGAAGTGAAGACAATAAGTACAGACAATTCTTTCAAGGAATTTTTTTTTAAAAAAAGATTCAGCTAGAGTGGTTACATCTTTCTCCATCTATACTCAGCTGTCAGGATATTGGCACAGGTGAGCACAGGTGTGGTGGTAAAGGTGGGTAGGGAGTCTGGCCAGGTAGGGTAGTCTGGTCAGGAGGGGATGGGGCACGGGTGCAAAGGTGATGAGCTTAGTGGGTTGTTGGGAATGATGGCTCTTGGAGCGCTAAGTTTTGAGAAATTGAGGTGGGGACATAGGAGGTGATGGGCAGAAAGTAGATGTACAGAACCAGGATGTCTTCATTACTTTCTTGTCTCTGAGACACAATACCCAACATCCAAAACTCTAAGGAGGAATGGTTTTTTGACTGAAAGTTTGTAGAGGACTCAATCCACAATTCATTGGCTCCAAAGGGAGGCATGGCAGAAGAGAAAGAGCTCATGGCCACAGCAAGGGGAGGTAGAGAGCTATCACGGGCAGAGGGAAGGAGGGAAGTTACACCCTTAAGGCCACGCCCCCGGTGAGCCTCCTCCCTCTGCCAGGTTCACCTCCCAAATTACATTTATCATATTTAGTTACAAACTCATCTGGACTAATCCATTAAAGGGTATCACACCTCCATGATCCAGTCACCTCCCCAATCCCGACCTGTGAGCACATGAGGCTTTGGGGGTCACCTGGATATAAACCACAATGTGAGATGCTGTAGAGGCTGTAGTTTGGTAATGGTCACTGTCAGGATGTGGGTCTTTCTCTCCCAGCAGGCTAGGACCTCTGGGAGTATCACAGTCACCCCAGTATCTCCAGCATTGGGTCTACAGGCAGGAAAGATTGGGTGAAGGCCAAGGGCCCTGGAGGAAAGGGCAGAGCATTGAGAAATTTGAAGGATCATGAGCTTGAATTTGATGTTCATGGAGAACAATGACAGGAGCAGTGGGGAGCAGTGGTGCCAGAGCTAAAAGTACAGAGCCGAAGAGACTTGGGAGCCTATGGCCCTGGCAATAAAATCAGGGGCAGACGTTACCTTGTGACTGTGTAAACTTCAAAGTTAGAGGTTTGGGGAGGAGATAGAAAGGAGGTGTTTAGAAGTGGTGTGGAAGAGCAAGGAGGGTCTTACTGCATCTGCAGATCCAGTGGGCCAGGGGGTAAAGAGGAGTAAACTGGCCCCACCTGGAAGGGCTGTGCCTTTGGGGAGAGCAGAGGGTGGCTAGAGCAGGGAGGTAAAAGGAGCCTCCAAGGGAGCTGAGGAGATGTGCACCATTGCAGAGAGCTCCAGGTGGTTCCCAGCCCTGCCCTGTCTGTCACACCTCCCCCAGCCTGGCCCCCACCGTTATGGACTGCCGTGGTGTGGGGCCAGTCTGTCTCCTCCACTGGACTGGCAACTCCGAGAATCAGAGCCTGGGTCTGTCTCAACCCCAACTGTATCCCCCACACATGAACAGCAGGCGCTCGCTGAGTTCTCCTGGACAGTGCCAGTTTCAGGTCTGCAGAGCAAGTTAGAAGATGAAATACCTCAGAACCAGAAGAGGGTGCCAGGATTTCAAGAAAGAGGGGTAACACCCCAAATTCACACTGTACTCTGAGGATTTTTATTGCTTAAAAAAGTTAGTGCAGCATGGCGGCACATGCCTGTAATCTCAGCTGCTCAGGAGGCTGAGACAGGAGGATCACCCGTTCAAGGCCAACGTGGGTAATATAGTGAGAACTTGTCTGGAAATAAGAAGTAAAAAGGACCAGAGATGTAGTTCAGAGGTAGAGTTTCCTGGATCCAATCCCCAATACTGAAAGGAATAAAAAATGAGGGCCTACAGTATAACCCATAGGAAATAGGTAACATTATCCTGCACTGGACTCATTTGAATGACTGCACAGTTCCTAGAAATCCGTAACAGAGTTAACTACTTCATCCCATACTTGTTAAAATTTAAACAGGTTTTTCTTAATGTCATACAAATATCCAGGAATGTTTCTGTGCAAATTGGTGACATTGTGCAGTTAGAATATTCTTACAGAGAACTCAGAGCAGCAGCAGTTCCTCCACTCATCCAATAAAGATTTCCTGAGCTCCTCCAGGCCTGTTCTAGGCCACAGCAGCATGGAAGGGATGGCAACAGCCTTTGTGTCTCGGCTATAGAACCACGGACTCTCCAGAAGGTTTTTAGAATTCTCAGAATATTACTGCTGCTTTAAATTATAAATTAAATACATGGTAGATATTAGTGTTGGATATTGCAAAGCCAAAAATGCTCAGTGCTTGGGCAGAATCTACTCATTCCCCATATCTTCTGCCCCTGCTCTCTCTAATCTTGTCCATCCTTGCCTCCTCCCTGGTCCACTGCAGAGGGCCGCTTCCTGGCCTTCCTGTTCCCACCCCTCCTCCCCCAGTCTGTGTCCCACATGCATCCAGAAGAGCTTCAAGTCAGGTCATGCACCTTCTTTGCTTAGGCCACTTCTGCAAAGGCAAACAAAAACACTGAAACGACACTCAGGATTTGGAGGCAGATATACTTACACCGACAGGCACTAATTGGGATCATTCCCAGAATATCAGGCCCTGATCTCTGGTGGTCTAAGGTTTATATGAGATAAAAAAGCAAGAAGTACAGAGGCAGAATGGCTTGTCAATTGGGGACTGGTTTATACAATGTGTGTGATAGTGAGCAGCTATGTATCACAGGGACCAGCCATTTCTAAGAGACCAGAAGCAAATGCAACTGGAACAGGAATAATATATTACCTGAGCAAGTAAGAAACCAAAGTATACTGGCTGAGGCAGGAGGGTTGTAAGTTGGGAGCCCAATTCTTTTTTTCCCACTAACACAATCAACGAATAAAATATAACGTCTCTACCCAGAAGAGTGGGCAGCTAACAGCTCATTTCGGGGAAAGTGAGGCACAGGGCAGAACCCGTACCAAGACTGCTACTCACACCCACCTGAGGGAAACCGGAAGCAGCTTTACGGTTAGAGATCGCAGCGCTAGCAAAACTCAGGGACTGACAGCGCGAGAAACTGCAGAACCTCAGGGTCTGGGGAATCCCCGCCCACTGCACGTACGCGGAACTCCCGGTTGGCAGGACAACTAGTGGGCGGGGCTACGCGGTTGCGTCTCGCGTCCTACGCCGTCGCGCGCCTGCGCTCCTTTCCACGTGCGAAAGCTCCGGGCTCGTGGAGTCAGGAAAGCCGGATAAGCTACGGGCAGCGCAGTTTAGCGCTCACCATGAAGCCAGGTGCTGTCTGGAGTTGGGGTCTGGGCTCAGGGGCTGGGGCGAGCGGGACTTCCGGGTGCTTTGGCTTGGGCGCAGGGGTCGTGCTCTGAGCCTAGGATCTGGGCTGGCGTTGGGCGGGGATCCTGGTTCTGCCTGAAGATAGATCTTGACCTGGGGAAGACTGGGGGGGTTTGTGACCGGCTTAGGAGTCACGGTCGTGAGTCCCGGGCCTTAACCTGGGGATTGGGGGTCGTGATCACGAATTCGTTTAACAGAGGCGGGTTTTAGATACGGGGATAGGAACTGCATTCGA